ATGGGTTGGGGCAATCCCAAGCACAAATACAGGCTGGGCAGAGAATGGATTGAGAGCAGCCCTGAGGAGAAGGACTTGGGGGTGTTGGTTGATGAGAATCTCAACATAACCAGGCAATGTGTGCTTGCGGCCTGGAAAGCCAACCGTATCCTGGGCTGCATCAAAAGAAGCGTGACCAGCAGGTCGAGGGGAGGTGATTCTCCCCCTCTACTCCACTCTTGCGAAACCCTACCTGGAGTACTGTGCTCAGCTCTGGGGCCCCCAACATATGAGGGACATGAACATGTTGAAGCAACAAGGGCCATGACAATGGTCAGAGGGCTGGACCACCTCTCCTATGAAGACAGGCTGAGCGAGTTGGGGTTGTTCAGCCTGGGGAAGAGAAGGCTCTGGGGGAGACCTTATTGCAGCCTTCCGGTACCTGAAGGGGGCCTACAAGAAAGCTGGAGAGGGACTTTTTACAAGGGCATGTAGTGATAGGACAAGGGGTAATGGTTTTAAACTAAAAGAGGGTAGATTTAGATTCGCTGTAAGGAAGAAATTCTTCACTACGAGGGTGGTGAAACACTGGCACAGGTTGCCCAGAGAAGTTGTGGATGCCCGATCCCTGGAAGTATTCAAGGCCAGGTTGGATGGGGCTTTGAGCAATGTGGTCTAGTGGAAGGTGTCCCTGACCATGGCAGGGTGTTGGAACTAGATGATCTTTAAGGTCCCTTCCAACCCAAACCATTCTATGATTGATTCTATGATTCTATGAACATAATTGATACCTACTTTGGAGAAGTGGTAATACGCAATAACAAAGCTGAGCATAACCGACTTGGAATACCAGGTACTGCAGTATGGAAAATAAATTACACAATAGTTAAAAAAAGAGATATTATTTTATATTCAGATATTCTGTTATACTTAGGAGTGCTCATTTTATAAATTGGCTGTTACATAGGAATTTAGTTAGTGCTGCAATATGTGATAGCTGTGCCAGCACTAATACTGGAACAATCTTGTTAATACTATTGTATGAAGTGAATTGTATTGATAGTGCTGTATTATCTTTGATACGTTTGAGCTTCTCATCTTGGGTAAGAAGCTTCTCTTCCCACAGAAATGCCTGAAAAACCAAAAGCTTCTCCTCTAAATTGGGAACACATGTCAAATTTCATTTTGGGGCAGACAAGAGGTTTCATCTCTGGTTTTGTGAACTTCAGCCTTTGGACTATGGAAAATGAAACTAGTTCAGGCAAACAGCTCTGCACCTGTGTAAAGGGGAAGCTTTGGCAACATTGGACTTTTGAAGTGGAAGGAAATAGTCAAAACTACTACTTGAGGATATTTCTGGCTTTGAAAAAGTGTTGTTTCCCCCTGAAACTGATTAAGGCTTCCCATTACCTCCAGCATAATCTTGTAATATTGAATACTCTTTTGGTGTAGTTCAATTGCAATTTAAAAGGGATAATTCATTTTAAAGATAACAAAATAAACTGTGAACCTTGTAATAACAAGGGAAACTTACATTTATTATTATGGCTTCAGGTAACCTTTTTTCTCTGTTCAGGATTGCAGGTGAAACTATTCAATAATTGTTTTGGGTACTGCTTTCATTTAGCAGGGTGTTATGAGGAAAAAAGAAAACACTGACCTTGAATTAATAAACACTCAAAAGCAGAAATTGGGAATAACCCAATAACCAAAAGCAGAAAGTAGAATAACCCCCCAAAATTTACGAATACCAATCCTGTCTAGGTCAGCAAAACCACTTGTGTGTTTTTAATACAAATTTGAAAGCAACTGTATATGTATGCCACATTATTAACAATGAGACCTCTCAGCCACGCTCTGAAAACTTTTTCTTCTTGGTAGCCAAATAGTTATAATAAACCAACCCACAAAAGATGTTCAGAGAACACAATGTCAACCTTTCACTTTCATTTAGATATCATATGCTTAAGTCAGTGTACTCTGAAGTTTGTATTTCTAAAGACTTTTTCTGTGAAAGCCTACAGATTTCTGCAGGATTTTTCATTACCTAAAGAAACAATGTTGGACTGAATGATTTGAAAAATACTGACTTTTAAAACATGATGTGATTCTCAAATGTTCATTTATGTATCTTTTCCCTTTGTTTCAGGAGCTGTGGAAGTGTCAGTCCGAAGTCCAGTTGCCTGCTGGTTTAGTGCTATGCTTTATTGCTTTGGTGGTTCAGTTTTGTCTTCGTTGATGCTTGCAGAACCTCCAGTAGCATTTCTGGCAAAGGGCACAAATATTATACTGGCATCTTCAGTCTGGTAAGCAACCACAGTTGAGTTAGATGGGTAGTATCGGTTCTGAGGAAGCTATACTTTGTAAACTGATGTTATACCATCAAGCTTGCATGTAAATCAGAAGCTTAACTTAAAAATGTTATGGATTCGGATGCTGTCTCTTCATCCAGAAAGTCACTGCAGCAAAGTAGCTGTTATGATCCTGTTCTATAGGAATAAAGTGCTTGTAAGAGAGCAACTCTTATGGGCTGTTTTATAATGAAATGCTCAGTCACTAGACTAGACTTGCCTTAGATTTTTATAGTATTCCTGGTCAAACAGCTGAAAACATTATTTTGGAATAAAGTGGACTTCAGTTACTGGTTTTCTGGACATAGGTAAGTCATAAACACAGTCTAGGTTTTCAGCAGTAGCTCTTGAAGACCAGAACCTGGCTGATGTAAAAATTTTGAACTTTTCTGTAATTGGGGGTCTAAGACACAGATCTTCTTTCTTCGCCTCTAGTTTCTGCTTCCTGACATAATTTTTTTTCTGTATTTTACCCTTTCCCAAATGGATGGGCGTTATAGTGGAAGACAGTATTAGTGGAAGACAGTAGAGAGCTGAATGGGAAGTCAGGTATGTGAAAAGGGCAGCAATTTGGCCTGTTTTGGAATTCAAAAAAAGCACTGGAGTTATTTTCATATAAATGTGGCCTTCCAGTGGAGTTAATTCGTTCCAGAAATTGATCTTTGAAGAAACCCTCAAACTTAAAAAAATTTGTGAGCAGCAGTGGGTTTTTGAATTCAAAAATCTTAATTCCTATCTTAGAAGAGTGTTATCTGCTTGAAATCCTTTAGTATCTGTTCCTTGTATTCCCTTAGGTTTTACAATTGCAAATTCATTAAAATGAAAGTAAGTGTTTCTGTCTGTCTATACATCTATATATTAGTCTTCTGGTCTTTGTGTTGCAATGGAGGGCAGATTTCATTTAGGCAAATTGGTGAAATGAATAATGTGCAATAAATAGTGCAGTATTAACAAAGCTTATAGAATCCGCTTATGGTTCATATTAGTCTAATGTGGGCAACATAACTGCTTGTTTTAACAAATGACACAAGTTAGGAGTACACGTAAACAGAACATGATTTCTGTTGAATTTAACATGGCCAAATGTGATTTGCTGTGCACAAATAAAATGAGGTTTTAATGAGGACCTGTGAATGTTATGAAACCTTTTAAGCTTCTAGTTTTACAAAGTTCTCTCGTCATGAGTATAATGACTTTAATTCTTGGTCCCAAATCATGTGAAACAAAATTCCCCAAGCCATACATAAAACTGGAAAATAAAAGAGGTTGTGCTACGCTTGAGAAATGCTCCTAAATAGTCTGTAGGACAGCGACATCTGCTGCTAGCAAGTCTTGCTAGCAGAAATTACAGGCAAAAGTGCCGTGATGGGACTGCAATGCTAGGTTCAATCCAGTTACCTGTGCTTCAGAGCCCTAAACCCACATTCTGCAATTGTAAATTAATTTTGGTTAGTGTTGTCTGTTGAGTACATGGCTTAAATGGCTATTTGCAGTAGCCATTAAAATACATGCTGTCTATACATCTTTGCCTTCATATCAACTGAAGCTTGGTTGCATACAAGGGCAATTGACTTTACAATAAGAGAAAAAGGAAGAATATAAGTAGTTCAAAAGTGAAGATAAAACTGAAAAACAGAGCAGTAGTTAGCTATTAATGTAAATTCCAATAACTTCCTTGTATGTGAGAAATAGGCTATTGCATGCTCCACTCTGGGAGGTCTTGAAGAGAAGAAGCTTTAAAAGTTTGCAGTGGCAAGGTACTACATCTATTGCTGAAAAAGAAAATATATTACTAGGACAGGACTTCAGCTAAACTTTGCCTTTCTGGGGAGGAAGCTTCCTGGCATTCTGCTGTAAAGGATAAGCATTTTTTTCTGAAAAAATACCCCAAACCCCAAGTGCTGTGCTGATTTCTAATCTCTAATCATAAAGCATGACTCTTTCTAGTTGTGGTGTCTGCTAGTAGTTCCAATGAAGTAAACTAGATACGAGAGGTCCATCTCTGCATTGCAGCTTGAGTAAACAGGAGAAGAATACAGCCTTAGAAATTCTTGGTAGACAGGATTGAGCTCAGAAGCCTAAACCAACAGGCAAGTATCTTTTTTTTAGAAAATAAGAAAGTACTCTTCCCATCTTTTAAAGGCTTTCTCTGCTTTTACTTAATTGTTACTCTCTTATTCCTGTGCTGAAATAATCTAGATACTTAATCTTGATTTTTTTTTTTGAGACCTTGAATGTCTCTGCAAGAACTGAATTTTGTTTATGATTGAAGAGATACAATGAAACAGCACATATCTAATCTTTTAAAATTTACTGTCAGCTTAGGATTTCATTGTTAGCCATCTTTATTTTAAAAGCAAGTTGATAAAAGATATTATTAAATTTTGAGTACTGTGCTTTCAACACTGAAAAAAGAAATGTGCTTGTAATTGGCAAGCTGGAAAAGCTAGAATTGGTGGTTACTAAGATGTGAAATGTGTTTGAAAATAGCTGTGCATTTCATCTGGCATGACACTAACTAGTGGAGGCATTCTTGCTGAAGTTATATAATTCCATGTACCTATCGATATGAAAGCATGGTGTCAGCATGTGATTTACCATCCTGTTGTAATCCTATAAGAAAAACCCCAAAACAAAAAAAAACCCCAAAAAAAAACCCCAAAACAAAAAAAAACCCCAAAACAAAAAAAAACCCCAAAACAAAAAAAACCCCCAACCAAACAAAAAAAACCCACAAAAAACCAAACCACACAAAGTCAGTCAGACAATTTAATAATTTGAATTATAAAAACATGATATGTAAGCTGTAGAACAGTTGGTAAAATTTAAAGCTGTTTCTCATGTACTTTAATGGATTCTTCTTTGGGACAATGAGGCAGTAAGAACAATTTCAAATAATGTTTGATGATTTTGGTGCAAGAGCTCAAGCATGCTCAAAAGCACTTCAGATTTGTTCCAATATGTCTACCACACAAGACAGCTATCAGTAGTATATCATGCATTGCTAGTCATATTCCAAAAATATCTTCAAAGGTTATTAGAAAGTGAATTCCTTAGCAAAAACTTTTGAATGCTGCTAATGGGTTTTCTTATGATTTTCAGGTATCTTGTGTTTTACTGCCCAGAAGACATATTCTACCGGTGCTTTGCCTTTCTGCCTCTTCGGCTTCTGGTTGCAGGAATGAAAGAAGTGACTAGGACTTGGAAGATAACAGCTGGCGTTGCACATGCAGACAGTCACTTCAAAGATGCCTGGCTTGTCATGGTAGCTGTGGGCTGGGCCAGAGGTAACATGCATAACATCTTGTTCTGATGGGTTGTGATGTTTTGGAGTGGTATTTAAATGGCTAGCCCTTCAGTGTCACTGTAGCACCATTGCTTGCTGTGCTGGATATGATAGTCCTAATACAGTCTGTTATCCCCTCAAGGAAAAAGCCTGTGCATCAGTTTTTCTGCCTGGATTAAGGGTGACATTGAGTGACTTTGAGTGAAGTTCATCTTATCCCTTCAGAAGGTCTTGTGAGGACTACTAAGATGGGCAGTTGATTGCAATAAAGAAATAGATCTCCTGTGTAGCTTCAGTGCTATTATTAAATTTTCCAACAGCATATTTCCTCAGAGCTGTTTTCCTTGCATGTGGCTGAAGAAGAGAACTTGTTTTCTTAGCTTTTTGGGTTGTAACCATTAGCTGATTTTAAACACAGGAATAAACCTTTTTGCCTGCCTGCTGTTTGGAGTGTGACTCTGGAAGCTACCTTCCTAGCTGCTATGTTTGTAGTCACAACGTTAAAACCACTTCAGGAAGTAGTAGTGCAGCTCTTGTTTCTGTTTGCTTGATTCTGTTCTGCTTTGGGAAACAACACGTGTTAATGTTACGATCTAACAAATTTTTTTCCCAGGTTATAATACAGATCAGTCTCATTAGCCAGAGCATCTAACACCTCCTTATGTCTTGTATTCTTTTAATGTAAAAATACATATCCACTTTTCTCGCAGAGGGTCCTCGTCATTTATGGAGACACTCTCTGTACTTACACGATGACATGAAGAATGGAATGGTGTAAGCCTCTCTGGAGATTTACTTTGGCAATTCAGGCTTTTTTTTGTAGTGATGAGTGCATCAGTTCAGATGCTATCACTTAAAAGTAAACCTGACGTTCTTGCTAAGTAGCTAAACCTCTGAGGTTTCATGTCGGTCACTCAAGTCGTGCGTGTATAAAAGATTGGATTAGTCTCTTTAAGTCTGAGCTTTGGGTGCCACATATGGCACCTGGTGCAACGAGTTTTTCTGGGAGCAATGATAGGTTGCGCAGTAGTGGTAGCTAGTGGTAGTCAGTGGAGGCTTATCTTAAATATCTGCAATTTCAGGAGCTGGTGGTGGCCTAATTTCCAACTTTGAGCAGCTGGTGAGAGGAGTGTGGAAACCTGAAACTAATGAACTACTGAAGATGTCCTAGTAAGTTTTTAAAAAAGACTGCAACATGTTAACTGTTGTTTTGCTAACTCCTTGTGTTGACACTCACTTTTAGTGGTTCAGATTTAAAAAAAAAAAAGGCAGTAGGATATGTTTGTACTCAATGTTTTGGTGTGTATCTTGTGAAAGATTGGTCGATGATCTTGAGTAATTTCAGCTGTTGTTTTAATCATTTTAGGTTCACAGCACAAGAACACCAAATGGGAAGACGAGTCAACAAAAATTATTTGGCAGAAAGCAGTATTGAGTCAGTAGGAAGTTGCTGGAAAGCAGTATTGACTCAATTTGTCTTACACGAACAGGGTCTTCTATCCAAAATGAAAGGACAGTGGTACCAGCAGTATACAAGTGAAGTCTGCATTTTTGGTGCATGTTCTGAGCACCACTAAGATGGTTTCCCTTCAGCATTGCCACTCTTATGTTCTCGGCCAGTACTGTTTTCCTCCACAGTTACCAATTAGTTGAGAAGGTGCAAATAGGTTATTCAATATAGCAGAAATGTACCGCAAGGTAGGAAATGTTACTTCTCTTGCAGAAGCAAAGTATGGGAATATTACATGGCTCCCGGTTTAGTCTGTACAGTAAAATGAGAATTGAGACAGGCTAGAAAGCCACAAGGTATTATTGTAAGTCAAGGTAAGCTCACTGTGGTAGTTTCCTAAAATTCGTTTGATCTTTCCCATGTTACTCTCAGGTCTTTAGAAATAATATTTTATTTCTTTTTAAAGTCATCTTGTTTTTCTGCAGCCACTCTTAGAAACAGAATAACAGAAGAGAAATTTGTAGCCTTTCCTTTGGCAATATTTCAATTTTTTATGGCTTATGTTAGTTGTTGGCTTTTTCTGAAATTCCAGGTATTTAGAATTTCTCTCCCTCTGTCAGTGCCTAAGTGGCAGTTTTGAAAGCAAACTTCCAGAAGGAAGAGGTCACTGTCAATAATAGCACTGTAAACCCAGATAACACTGTATTTGCAGGTGCAACACCAGAGCAATGCTTACTGACTGTGGCAGCGCTTGCATATATTTTCCTTCTCCATGGTAGATGTGGCTGAAAGTAACTCGGAAAGGATTTTTAAAATTTTGTTTAATATATAAAGCTTAAGAATATTAAATAGAAGTAAGTTACAAAGTTAAACGGATAAAATGTTCTGCAAATGCATGAGATGCCTGTATACACAGAGTTGTTGTTTTTGGCTTTCTGAACAGGAAGTTGATGCAGTAAATCTCTGAGTTACTGAAAAGACAGTGAAGAATGTGTCTACACTAGATGCTCTGTGATAACAGGAATGTCACCTGTACATGTCACATGTAGATCCAGATTAAGAAATGCTCAGAATTTTTCTGCCAGTGTATTAGTGCTCTCTCTTCAAACGACTTTAGATAACTGACCAAGGTTCTCTTGTTTTCTGACTGCATACCTCACAAGGGATTTACCACCAAAATGAAGATAGCTAGAAGATGTAAATCTTTGCATGTATCAAGTCAACACAGCTACGTTGGCAAAACCTGGTAACATAGGCCTGGCTCAAGTCAAGTATAAGCTGACTACAACTCTAGAACTGCTGGAGTGTCACAGTGGACCGAGACCTGGACTATGTTGTTCTTCAACACCTTAAACAACTCTTTGGAGTAACTTAACACCTGGAGTATAGGAGAGGAACCTAGTTTTAAGTCTAGTCCGAGTAGTGCAAGCTTTGTGATTTAACTCTTCAGTATTGGGAGAGGAAGAAGGGGAGCAAGCTGATGTATAGAGTCTGAATATAGGCATTGATTTGAGGTGGATGTTGTCAAGTATGAGTTTGCTGGCTTTGTAAAGTAGTGCTGAACTTGCTGATTGTCCATATTATGGACAGAAAGCATAGTAATAGTATATAAAGTGAAAGTCTTAGTTTAATTATAGCTAGGTTTTGGACCTTGTCACTGTTACCACAAGTTTTCATTAGTTCTATTCAGAAATAATTCTTTTGCACACTAAGAACATTTATTGCTTTCCAGGCCGCGGCAGCTTTCACTGTAGAGTAGCGAAGAGAAAGTAACACTGCTTGTTTGATTTCCAGCCCTGTGAAGGTAACTTTGATAGGAGCAGTTCTTTTCACCCTGCAACACAGCCAGTACTTGCCAATAGCAAGACACAACCTCATGTTTTTATACACCGTCTTTCTTGTCGTCTCCAAGGTAAGAATGTGAAAGCATTGCAAATAACTGAATAACAGAAAATATTTTATTTCATTATTTCCAAACAAAAAATATGCCCTCAAACATTCTACCACAAGTTAGAATGCGTGCTTCTGGATAGGAAGGCCAGGTCCTACTGAAGTCTTAAACTTGTGTTTAGTCTTCTATGCATGAGCAGTGCAGAAGACCTATTCTGTAACTGATACTGTTCAATGTATGGGGAAAAGAAAAAAAATCAGGAATTTTGGCACCCAACAGTTGATATGCCAGGCTTGTAGGTGCATAATCTCAAACAAAGCTTATGCTTGTAGAAAGAAACTCTCCTGTTCTCTGCCTTTTGCCAGCTGCTTAACACCTTCCTTGTACCTGTGCAGTCATCTGTGGGTTTGCAAGACAAGCCAACTAGGTTCTCATCTGGCTTAAAGTGTTCGCAACATAAGTGTTTAGGTGGGAAGAGAAAGTGTATCAAAACCACTTTGAAGTAGCTGTAACTACTTTTATAATAAAATAAGTACTACTTCTCTGTTGAATTCTTTAATCCCTCCAGTCTTGTTCATTTCCAGGATGATGCCTGTCTTCAGGATTATTAGCTAATAAGAAAGTGTGGTTTCTATGTTAGCAGAAGTCTGGCAATTTTACGAGGTTCAGAGCTGCTGTTGAACAGACTAGAGACTGTCTTAAAGTGGTGGTTGCCAGTCTCCTTTCTGTGAAGTAGCTGACAAGTTTAATTCTAGAGAAGTTGGTTTAGGGAGCCGAGACTTCAAGCTGATGCTCATGATTCTCCACCTAAACCAATAAAGGCATTGTTGAACTGGGGATGCTGGGAATGGAGAAGGAAAGGAATGTTATTTTCGAAGTGAGAAATTACAGCTGTCTTCAGAAGCTGGCTGTCAGGCTGCACTGAAATGAGTAAGTTCTTAAACTGATCGTCATACTGACTATCAGGAACTTGAACATCCAGTTAACTAATTAAGCAACAGTTGTGGATCTGGCATAGTCCTGTAGTAGTGTCTTGTTTCAGAAACTTTTCATGTCTCTGAAAACTGTAGAAGCTCTTGCAATATAAGCTTGTCTAGTACCTGGATCTACAAAACAGTTTTTTCTATGCTGATTCCAAGTTATGTATTCTAAGGAATTTCCACCTAAATCTCTCAACTTTATGGAATGAGTATGGCTGTGTGGAATTCTAACTTAAGTCTGGCTATGCATATATATTTAGGTGCTTACACATTGCATTCTTTCAATTTAAATGGAAATAGCCACTCTGTTTACAGTTTTTCAGTTTGAACAACGTACAAAAATTACACATAAAAGTTGCTCTTCACCTTAGTTATATGACATTAAATGTGGTTTAGTCTTAGGATGATTTTAGCAAACATGGAAAGTTTTTTGTGCCCATTCTTTGTGTATAGCTGTGTGAAGAGTGTAGGTCAGAAAGAAAAGCATTCTTTGATCAAGTCAAGCTAAAATGAATATATTTCTGTTCTTGGTGGCATGGCCTCATGCTCGTGTAGAAAGTTAGAAATGCTGTACATCCATTCAGCTTTGAACTTGTTTTCAATCACTGTGAAGTCATTAAAACTTTTATTGTAACTTGATCCTTGTTCTTCATAGGTAACAATGATGTTGACAAGATCTGCAACTTCTCCATTTGCTCCCTTTGAGGCTGCATTAGGCCATATGTTCTTTGGCTTGCAAAAGATACCATCCAAAGTGAAGGGTGAAGGTGCCGCATCTTCCAACGGCTCTTCAGTCTGTGACCCGTCTTCTTCTGAACAGCACCGTGATGGTGTTAAGAAAAGACAGGCGAAGAAAACAGAATAAGTGGCTTAAAATCCTTGATGGTCATAGCCTTTGAAGATGTTTCTATTTCAGATTAGGCTGGCTGAGAAATTTGTTTAAAGAAATGCATGTGAGGAGCGAACAGGGCTGTATACTATTGTGTTGTTGTTCGCCTTCGGAATGTGTTTCGTAAGCTACTGTTCAGATGTCTAAATGCACATGTTGGATTTGTAAGTTAGAAACTACAAATTTTTATAGTGGTTATGAGTTTACTAAATTTTGTATTTATGATAACTTTAAATGCTTACATGCTAAAAAGATAGTTTCAAAATGTGACAATCAGCTTTGTTATTTTTCCCGATATATCACTTGTTTTACCTCTTCCTGCCCTGCCCCCAATTCTTATGTTTCATTTGGATAGCATGGATTTGCACTGCCAAGTGTTCACAGTAGCATGTCCCAAAAAAGAAAGTAATCATCTGAGTCAGGCTTAATCACATTGCGTTGTAAAACCATGAAAATGTACCGAAGTAATGCCTTTAACTAGAAAAATAACTGAATTACTGTTGTAATTCACATTGCACTGGTCTAGATTTTCTTCAATTACTTAAGTAAATATTTTTCATACTTTTCTATTTTTTAAAATAAGTGTGCATTATCTGGCACTTTTAAAAATCTTTACAGTTAGCAAGTAGAAACACTTCAGTATTTTCATTGTTGGCTTACTTTGACACTTTATATGCAAGTGTTTGATATATAGCTGTTTTTCATGTTACATAGGTGATTTAACATGAGGTTTGTAGTTCTCTTTCAGTTTGGCTGGGACTAGACATCTCTGCCTGCACTTTTATCCAAGCATACGTATTTTTTTCTTTTCAAAGCCGAACTTCCTTTTAAAAAAGTATACTGGACAGTATATTTACCTTGTTTCTCGTGAGTTCAGCCCTATTATGCCTGCTGTTAATAAATACCAGCACTAGTTTGTAGCAGTTACCTCTGGTGCTATTGGGGAAGAAGCCTGGTGTCACCGGCAAAATTTTGGGTTTTTTGATCATGGGTTGGTTTACATGACACCAGGCCTGCTGGCGACAGATGGGGTACACCTGTTTGAAGGGGGAAGAGGATCTTTGCACAGGAGTTAGCAGGGCTCATTGAAAGAGCTTTAAACTAGATTTGAAGGGGGAAAGGAATAAAACCAGGTTCACTAGAGATAAGCCTGGGAGCAGCACGCCATTGTTTGAGGGATGGTGTGCTAGCAAGGTCCTTCAGCCTGCTGTATCAGTGGAGGTACATCTCAGATGGAGAGATGCTACACCACTTAGACACACACAAGTCTATGGGGCCAGATGGGATCCACCCAAGGGTACTGAGGGAGCTGGCAGAAGCAAGGGGTACGGGGGGAGCGGGCAAAAGCGTCTCAAAGCCACTTTCCATCATTTACCAGCAGTCCTGGCTAACTGGAGAGGTTCCAGTTGACTGAAGGTTAGCAAATGTGATGCCGATCTACAAGAAGGGCCAGAAGGAGGATCCAGGGAACTACAGGCCTGTCAGCCTGACCTCGGTGCTGGGGAAGGTTATAGAGCAGATCATCTTGAGCGCCATCTCACGGCACATACAGGACAAGCAGGCAATCAGGCGCAGTCAGCATGGGTTTATGAAAGGCAGGTCCTTCTTGACTGACCTGATCTCCTTCTGTGACAAGGTGACCTGCTTAGTGGATGAGGGAAAGGCTGTGGACGTTGTTTACTTGGACTTTAGTAAAGCCTTTGACACCACTTCCCACAGCATTCTCCTGGAGAAACTGGCTGCTCATGGCTTGGATGGGCCTATGCTTTGCTGAGTGAAAAACTATCTGGATGGCCAGGCCCAAAGAGTTGTGACGAATAGAGTTAAATCCAGTTGGTGGCTGGTCACAAGTGGTGTTCCCCAGGGCTCAGTATTGGGGCCAGTTCCGTTTAATATCTTTATCAATGATCTGGACGAGGGGATTGAGTGCACCCTCAGTAAGTTTGCAGACAACACCAAGTTGGGCGGCAGTGTTGATCTGCTCGAGTGTAGGAAGGCTCTACAGAGGGATCTGGACAGGCTGGATCAATGGGCCGAGGCCAACTGTGTGAGGTTCAACAAGGCCAAGTGCCGGGTCCTGCACTTG